CAATTAATTTCATTAAATAATGTCATTAAAACGAATACATTAAATATCATTGTAAAATGTTCAGATGGCTTAAAAACATTATCGACTGGACGTCCATCATCCATATCGAATACTGACGGTCCTAAAAAAAAAAAGAAAGAATTTATAAAAAATAATTAGTTCAATTTCTATTTTACCGGCAAATAAAATAAAAAGCATAACAGCTAATTGATAAACAGCATGACCAATAATATTTTTCATCATTTGTCGAGATATTAATGCTCGTGTTCGTCCGTATGGTTTACGTGTTAATAATTCTTCAGTCGGAACTTCAGTTGCCAATGCTAATGATGCTAATGTATCCATAATTAAATTAACCCATAACATTTGTACAGCACGTAATGGGGATTCTTTGACAATACATGCACCAATAAAAGCACAGAATACTGCGACAACATTAACAGTTAATTGAAATTGAAGAAATTTTGATATTGAATCATAAACATTACGACCCCACATAACTGCTTTGACAATTGAATTAAAATTATCATCAACGAGTATAATATCTGAAGCTTCTTTTGCTACATCAGTACCTTGTATACCCTATTTAGTAGAAAAATTATATTTATTATTAATTCATCTTTAAGACACAACATAGATGATATACGCTTATGGCTCTTTTACTAAAATTCTTCATTAACATGATCTATTACAATATTCTATAGTGAATCTCATTTATAATCCAAAACTTAATATATTCATTTTTAGCTAGCTCAAGGACTCAATCATGAAGAAGCTAATGATTTCATTAGAATAAATAAATAGGAAACTAACCATGGCAAAACCAACATCAGCTTTTTTCAAAGCAGGCCCATCATTTGTACCATCACCGGTAACGGCCACAACTTCACGTGTTGGATTATTTTTTGATGCAATTATACCTTTTACAAGTACATATTTATCTTGTGGTGATGAACGAGCTAATACACGTAAATGCGGCCAAACTTTATCAAGTAAAGCTTGTTCAACCTAAATAAGATATTTCAATGAAATAAATTATATAATAAGTTATTATCTACTTCTCCATCTGGTTTTGATCTTATACGTCGATTAAATTCTTTTCCTTCAAGTACTAAGAAACTATCATTTGGTGATATAATACCACATTTAAGTGCAATTGATCGAGCAGTATTAACATTATCACCTGTAACCATTCG